TCCTAACTACTCATCGTTGAATAGTGATTCCCGTATGATGCTAGCATGCTTAATGCTTTAATGATTCAAAATGTCCGTTGACATGAGTAGAGTATGCGGAATACTCAGAAAAGAATCACTTATGTGAGAGAAAAATAAGACCACTTCAAATGAGAATTAATTAGCCTCATCAATTGTTTAGAAGCTCAGAAACAATGTTCTATAGCCAAAACGGGCACACCCATGAGAACTAAACAAAGGTTTGGAGGTTCCTGTGTGAGATATATCATCGTTTACACAAAGAACAGTACAGTTCAAAGACATTGTGTTCTACCCGACAACTAGTAAAGTAAATATACCTTCACAACGGAAGGTTTAAAGGGTAACACCTACATATCTTATGTAGAAATATTCCACTAAGAACTATTATGTCGTTTGAAAATTATTTATTTTTTGGCATGTAAAATGATTGAGACAATGTTTTGAGTGGGTCCACTTCTGATTTGGATCGGGTTAAAGTGAATTTGAGTTCTCTTAAATGAGAGATTTAATTCGATACATTATATACTCAAAACAGATAATGGTTAAATAAAAAATTGATTTTCAAAGTATACTTATTTGAGTTGGAAAAATAGAGTTGGTAAGGTTTTGAACGAACCTTCGTACCACATTGAAAAATAAATGTGAGTTTACACACACACACACACACATATATATATATATATATATATATATATATACCCTATATAGGGTCAGGTTCCTGTGAGGTCAGTGAGGCATACACCATTAGGTATGTATAAATGCACCACACAGTGTTCGTAAATACACCATTATGTGTGGTGTATTTTTTTGTGTGTGGTGCATTTTTTAACATTTCATTCTGGTGTATTTTCGAACACTGTATAGTGCCTTTATGCATACCAAATAGTGTATGCCGCACTGACCGCACAGAAAGACCTGATCTCACAGGAACCAAAATCTATAGGGTGAAGATCAAGTGAGGATAGTTTAATTTGCTAGGTGAGGAATGTGGATTATTATTAGCTGTCAGATTAAACAAATAAATGGCTGAGATTACACAATTGTTGAGAATTAAATCCCACCAGGACTATGTGGTCTAATGGTACCCGGGTTGGACTTCCATTTGGAAGATTATGAGTTCGAGCCTCAGTGGAGGCGTTATTGGTTCTTTGTGTTTCAGTAGGTTGAGAAAGTATATGAACAGATACTACAATGTAATAGAGCCAGTAACTTTCAAAAAAAAATAACGGTAGTAATAATTATTTCAGGAGAGTAAATAGGTAAAAGTAGGTGTGGGCTGGCAGTGTCATCTATGGTAAATGCGAAAAACACGAATCGTGTACCTAGAGTTGGCGTCTTGGATGAAGGTGAAATTGCAATAGACTGCAGTCCATTCACGCAAGGTCTTCTTCTGTCTAACAACACTCCCCACGCCTTAGGGACAACAAACAAGCACTAGTAAAAAAATTGAGATAATAGAGTGTGTTGTTTTGGATAGAATTAGTTTGAGGGGCTCTACAATACAAAGGAAAAGGATTTACATTGGCTAAAACTGTGCATTTTTTAAACAATACTGTGCGCAGACATAGTAGGCGTGTGGGCACTGTTTATTGTGCATGATTATATACTTTCTGAGTGCAATTTGATTTTTTGAAATTGGAAAACTATATACGTGATTGTGCACTCTGTGTGATGAAGGTATTGTAAATAGTCATATTTGGTTTAAAATTTAAATAAACTAGTTTGGGTGGTGGTTGGGTTGTTTAGTGTGTAAAAAGATGAAAAATCAAATTTTATATTCGGTTTTATGTGTGCATTTATATGGAGCGTTTGTGTGACAAGTCATGTGGTTGGTTGACAAATTAATGTGTGCATTTTAGTGTGTATGCAGTGTGCATATATAGTAGAGAGAAACACTTTTTGTGGTCTTGAAAGCAATTGTTCTTGAAAGCAATTGTTCCTCAGTGATGATCAGGGAACAATGTTTTATGGGCGGTGATTTGAGACACACATGATATAGACAAACACTTTCATGACTCTTGTTTTTGGATTTGCACTATACGTACAATGATTTTTGGTAAAAGATTAAACACCATGCTTGTCTTTTCTTCCCAGACGCATATCTGAAAAAGATATGGTGCAGTTGTGATACAAATGTAAGTGCATTCTACCATTCGTGCATGCCAGTGTAATATCAGCGTGCGTTAATGACAGTTTGTGAGGTGCATTCTACATTCTACCAATCGTGCATGCCACCTAACTGAATTACTTTGGTTGCATTCGTGAATGAACTTATACATTGGAAAACAAATTTAAAAAAATAGTGTTGAAATAAAATTTGAACAGAATATATGCGGAATAAAAATTTAAAGACCAATCTGAATCCAAAATTTAAATTTAAACGTCAAATGCAAAACACTTAAATCGTATGTTGTAGCTAGTGAAACATATCTAAGATGGTTTATTACGACTAAGAAACTACTCAACGATAGCATTAGGGAGTTATGACTATCATGATGGCCAAGTTGTTTACATGTCCTACATTGACGCTTGGGGCGAGAAGCCTTCTCCACGGCCGACTCTCTAAAAGGCCTAACAACATCATGACACGTAGGTGTCCAATACTTAGTCGCACCCGAAGAAACGTCTATAACACAACTTTGGAGAGTTTCAAACCGCCCTACACGCACAAACAACAAAATAAAAAAAAAAAAGAAAATAGGATTAAGTCATAACCAACCAAAAATCTCAAAAACACATAGCTAAATCACCCCAAACTTATTGTCACCAACACGGCTGAAGATGCCCTTGGGGGAAATAAAAAACTGGACTACAGGCCATGAATGCAAACATACAGTAAACAATAATGCACAATTAATGGACCTTGTACTCGAAAGTAGGCCACATAAAAAATTACCATGCCCGGAGCAAAAATAAATAAGTGGGAATTTAAAAAATTTTAAAACCTAGACAAAAAGCCAAGAATGGCCAAATACATAAAATATTAACGCGGCCTTGATAACGAATCACCCTCCACAAAAAACTAATGACTTACGGCAATAAACAATGACAATTTCTAGAATACAAGAACATAAAAGAGGAATGCACATTTCTAAATAAACCACAGAAACCCAATAACAGTGCATACAAAAAAAATGAACAAAAGATCGTGAATGCACAAATCCATTAATGAAAAATGCAGAATCCACAGACCCAAAGCTATACAGTATGGCACAATCAATATTGCCATACCCGAAGAAAAAATACGAAATAAAATGTGAATAAAAATAAAATTTTAAAACCTGGACACAAAGTCATGAATGTCCAAATTTGAAACACAAATCTAAACTCATCCATGACAATGACATTAAACAAAAAAAAATAAATAAATGACGGAAAAAATAACAAACCTGGACACTCCATAGCAACAAACGAACTCAAAAAGAAACACAAAGATGTGCACGCATGGGTAGCTCAACTGGTCATAGAGGTGAAACTTTGGAATAATGACCAGGGATCGAGTCTCACCAGCGGCAGTGTGGGAGCAACCTCTCAAAGTGAGGGGGGTTCCTTGTGCGCAGTGAGCATGGTTCATGTTCTGAGTCACCATGATTTACATCATTCCAAATGCTCTGTGGGAAATACTATACTAGAATTCTACCTTACCTTAATTACTCACCATACTCACCATAAAAACATGCACAAAATCCCAAACAAATAAACTAAGAAAGGTAAAAAAAAAAAAAAAAAAAAAAAAAAAAAAAAAAAAAAAGACCAAAACACCCTAATAAAGCTACTTAATAAACAAAACTAACAAAAAATCACAACCACACATCATCACGAAAATCACAACCACACATCATCACGAAATCCACGGCTATGATTAATCCACAATCCTCATGGGGAGAAGTGTCCTCATTTGATACTCCCTCTTCCCGTGTGGTCATGTGGTGATTTTCAGAATACACCAATAGTTAAGTAAGATATACACCATCAACATCAAGAAATGCACCACAAAAAACGCACACAAATTAGGTACGCATCACCAACAACACAAGAAATGCACCACAAAAAACGCACACAAATTAGGTACGCATCACCAACAACACACCATACAGCCACCGGCTATCCACGCCAGATAGCCGGTGGCTGTCTTCATTCTTCACGGACAGCCATGGCTGTCTAAGGAAGACAACCACGACCGTCTTCTGGATCTGGACGTCTTCATTCTTCACGGACAGCCATGGCTGTCTAAGGAAGACAACCACGACCGTCTTCTGGATCTGGACGAGGGCTACGATCTTGGCTGCCGCCCTTGTTCCAGGCGGAGGGGACTGGAACGATCCCCTCTGTTTGGAACGAGGGCGGCGGCCAAGGCCGTAGCCCTCGTCCAGATCTAGAAGACGGCCACGACTGTTCTTTTTTTTTTTTTTTTTTTTTTTTTTAATATTATTATTATTTTAATTAATTAATTTATTTATAATAAATAATATTTTTAATTTTTAATAAATAAAAAACATTTGTTTTAAAAAATAAAATAAGAAGGACACATGTCAACACCATATCAATTTAACATGATAAACAAGTCATATTAGACTTAATTGAACAATTTTACCAGTTTAGGGGACTTTAGGGGATCCAATTGTACTATCCACTTGACTTAGGCAATCAATTTGACACTTTTTCCACTAATCAAACCCACTAACTCAATCAGTTAACAGGTATTTACCAAACACCTCCCTAATATATTAATTAGGGACACATAATTTTGAACCAAAATCTACAATGGCACAATTATTTAATAACATTATTACCTGTGAATTTTATGCCAGAAAGCCTTCGCTTGCGTGTGCTAGTTTGAGATCCAAAAAACAGGGATCACGAAACGAAACAGTCAAAATAAATTGCGTATTCTATAGCGGTTTAGGATCATTATTGAACTAAGAATTCGGATATTTGTAGTTCCGGGACAGCTTACACAAATGAATTAGTTACACAAATGTTTCACAATTATTAATTTAACAAATAACATGCCTTTTAAGATTGACCAAACATGGCTCCTGGGCATCCTCACAGTCGGCTTCATCGGCGGCGCATTTTTCATAATGACGTTTCTCCAGTCGGCGACGGCTCCGATCCTTTGCAAGACGGCTGGCATGCTAGCAGCCGCGGCGGCGGGAAACTCCAGCTCGAGTTCGAGCTCGAGCCAGACCCAGCTCCTGGACGCCATTTTCCACTACGCCACGTCACGGCTCACCCCGCAACAAAGCGTCCAGGAGATTAGAATGAGCATGGAGGTGCTGAAGAGACTGGGGCCCACCAACTTCCTAGTTTTCGGGCTGGGCTACGACTCCCTAATGTGGACGGCCCTCAACCTGGGCGGCACCACTTTATTCCTCGAAGACGACCCGAAATTCTACGACGCCATTGCGGGCCGCAACCCGAACATAACCGCCCACCTCGTCAAGTACACCACGAAGATGTCGGAGGCGGGGGAGCTGGTCCAGCATTTTAGGAACGAGCCGGATTGCTCCGCCACGAGGTCCGCCCTGCGTGGCAACCGCCGCTGCCGCCTGGCGCTGCACATGCTTCCCGACGGGGTTTACGACGTGGAGTGGGACCTCATCTTGATCGACGGCCCCAAAGACTCTTACGCAGAGGCGCCCGGCCGGATGGCGCCCATTTACTCCGCCGCCGTCATGGCGCGTAACCGGAATCGGTCGGGGGTCACGCATGTGTTCTTGCACGATGTGCATCGCAAAGTAGAGAAAGTGTACGCCGAGATGTTCTTGTGTAGGAAATATTTAGTGGGTGCGGTGGGGAACCTTTGGCATTTCCAAATCCCACCCACTTCCAATACTCATTTTTGCTAAACTTTTGTTTTTCTATTTAATATTTTTGGTACATAAAAAAAAAAATTAAGTGACAAAATTATTCCATTTCCAAGTTAAATTTAACTTTATAATGCCATCATAGTAAAAATTAAAAGAAGAAATAAGAGAGCGAAACTCCAACATAAAATAAATATTAAACTTGATCCCAAAATTTAAAACTGCGCTTTGTGTGAAAATCAATACTTATTAGGTGAATCATGGTCTACATAACTTATCTTCTATGCATATAGTATGTTATTTCTATGCACAGGGTATATTATTTTTATAAGTAATGTGCATTATTCGAATGTATACAAGATAATATGTAAACAACTTGATGGTTCATTATTTATATACATAAAGTTCACTATTTGATTTAAGCATGTATGTTTTAGACTCATTTCTACTGTATATAAGATTCATTATTTATTTTGTGTGAATGTGTTTTAATGCATAATCCATGGTAAAATTTGCCTATAGAAACAATTTGACCAACTCGATTGATTGGTTATACACTCATCTCAGTAAAATGACAAATTTGGTTGACTATACAAACCTCAACTTAACTGATTCTTGTTAGGAAATGAAAAATTGAAGCAATGATTTCATTAGCTTTTAATTGAATTACATTCATCTATTTATACGGAGAACAAAGCTGAAGCACAAAAGAAGTCGTTTACAACCTAGCCGCTATATGATAATGAAATGCTCACTTAAGCCTTAATATATTCTCCAACAAAACTAAGTACAAACCTGGAAGGCTGGAAAGCTTCCTACAATAAGCAAGTACCAGATCCTGCGGCAATGCTCGGCCCTTCGCTTTGAACTAACACCCCAACATAATACAAGGCTGGCCAGAACCAACATTAGCATAGATCTATAGCTCTATGTGTATGCGCCGCATTTCGGCTAGGAAGGTTGTGCTTGAACCCAAAGTCCGCCGTGCAAGAGCCCTTATGTCATCCCTGGTGCATTCACGCGATATCCGGCATAGCTCCCAAAGGGCTCCACCACTAATCATGTCTCTTGCATTTTCCTCTGAGAAAAGGGATTAAAAAAAAAAAAAAACAACAAAAAGTTTTGCATCTCTGCACCAATGAGGTAAAAACGAAAGACATCTACTAACTACTGTTTGCCAATTCTGATCTTCCTCATATAATGGAGTCCTTACCATGTTGTGCCAGGTGGCAGAGTGCAAGCTCAAGGTGACGTCTAATAGGTGAGGCTTCATTGTTGGCATTCTTTATGATCCATGGTAGTGCCCCGTCTTCTATCAGAAGGGATCGTCCAGTTTTGGTGCCTACAAGGGTGTCAGTATTATGATAGATACATACGAACAAATCGTAATGTCATATCGTTGTTAGTTGTAAAATTTAGTAAACAAAAAGATATGCTGCAGACTCCCATGTCAGAAATTGATAACTTTGTTGCACAAGGTTGAGTTGGGCACTCACCCTGAGTAGAAGATCTGGACTCACACTTGGCAAAATTGGCAAGTCCACGTGCAACTTGGGAAAGAACATCTGGATGCCTGGATCTCACCATTCCTAACAATGCCCTAATGCCACCTTCAGACCTTAGCCTTATCTGCAGTTTATCTGGGGAAAGAATAGTGTTATATTCTAATTCTAAGATTGGGACAAGGTCACTCAATTGGGTTATATTGCACAAGGACCAAACCACACTAAAAGATTGAATCCAATCAATTTGCTAGTCTAATCCATGGCCTTATAAAGGCATATGTTCTCTCTTATATTTTCAATGTGGACTCTTAATAAATAGATAAGTTCAGCACATTTATTAAGCAATAGAATAGACAGGAAACGAATACACCCAAAAACATAAGATGGGAAGGTTTCTATGAAATAAGAATGAACCACAGTATTAGATTTAGATGCCGACTAGAACAAGTACATAGAGATGTCTTGACTTAGAGCCTTAGATATTGGTATTTCCAACTCAAGAGTGTATATAAATGCCATCCTTTTTACTCTATTGAAAATTCATTTTCAAATTGTCTAACCATAAAAGTTAACCTTTTTAATGCAAATAAGCTTAGTAGCTTACCATTGCCACATAGATTTGCAATAGCTCCAGCAACCATTCGTAGAGTCTGAGGATCCTCAGCATCAGATGCAGTCATAGCCAGTAGACCAACCCCGCCTTGAGCCATAATAAGCTCCTGGTTTGCTTCTGCACAGACAAGAAAGAAATCTCTGAGATGACAAGCACTAAAGTCCAAAATAGAAAGTACAAACAAGAAACTGAAAGACTGTCAACCATGAAAAAAGTCCAAAAACAGTGAAAGTGAAAGAGAAACACATTCTCACCATTCATTGCAAGATTTGCAATTGCACCAGCTGCTATTCTGCGAATAGTTTCATCCTCAGAACTTCTAAGAAGAATCAGTAATGAAGACAGGCCACCAGCTTCAACTATTTTCTCCTGATTTGCTTCTGCAGAATGCAGGAAAAGCAGGACAGAATAATACAATCAGAAATAACTAAATATTCCAATGTCAAATTACACAAAAAAAAAAAGCATTTTATCTACCAAAATATATCTGTCAACAGATAGTAATAAATTAACTGAAAATACATTATCATTGTCCATGATGTATAAGTTCACCTCTGCAATTTAAAAATTGTAAGTACAACAATTAGAACAGAAATCAGCTTGTTTGTTTTTTATTAATTTAGAAGAAAACAACCTTCTCCTAGGATTTAGACAACCAATTTGCATCACCAGAAGTCAAGAGATGACTGAATAAATGAATAAAACAATAGTTAAACAAACTCTCCCTTCTTGTCCCTGTTATTTTGTTCTCACTCACTCTCTCAGTCTCTCTCTCTCTCTCTGTTCACTTCTGAAACAAGAAAATAAAATATTTCATGTAGCTTAAGCTAAATGAAAAGATATCCAGATCTTATTTTTTTATGGATGAGGTCATGAGGTGGAGTAAGATCACCTTCTGCTGCTAGGTTGGCAATTACTTTTACTGCATGAATCTGCACACAAGCATCTTCAGACTCAAGTAGTGACAAAATCTTGTGTAGTCCAACTGCACTTTGATTGGATAAAAATAGTGAAATGCACGAATATTTTGAACACATGTTTCAAATGGCATACAGTATAAAATTAAGTGAAACCTTGTTCATGGAGATTGGTGATTGCCCCTCTCTCCCCATTATTGCTATCTTTATATGGCAGATGTCTAAATGGAGACAGAGAATCTAGACCAGAAAGCAAACTGCCATTTCCATCTCTATCAGGATTGTTTCTAATCTATGAACGTGATGACAAAGTTAGCTAGCTTCATTTAAGTGGATTCAACAAAAATAAGAACCCAGCCCCTTCTATTTTGTGAAGTCAAGGATGGTACTGAAACCCAAATGCATTAGGAAGTAGAGAACCAATCTGATATTGAAAGTCGTAAAAGACCATACTTGACCAGTGTGCAAAGTCAGATGAGACAATTGGCTTTTCAAGATGTTCACTTCTTCTTCCAGCCTCTTTTTCTGACGAGTCTCTTCTTCCAGCACTTTTTGGAGGTTTACAATGTCAGAATTTCCACCTTTTAGCTACACAAGTAATAAATCACATTTATAATTGCGATCCTACAATCAAGGAATTGCAACACATGCAATCATTTGAGAAATTGGATCCTTTCATAAATTACTTCTGGTTCTGAAAACTTCATAATTTGATCTTTGAGCTTGTTGGTTTCTTCTTCTGCTGCTTTTCTTATTTTAATTTCATTATGTAGCAACTTCTTCAGCTCAGTCACTTCCTCAGTACAAAACCCCTTTTGGCCCTGCATGAAAACAATTAAGACATCTCAAACCAAATAGAGAAGAAAAGCAAATAAAGTTGTTCTGTTCAGAAAAGTGAAACAGATGGTGGAAGGAAATAGACACCCAGAAGTTTTCATAACAATCCTACCAAGAGAGAGAGGAAAAAAAAAAAAAATTAGACTAAGGTGAAAGAGAAATTTAGTCTACCAAAGAAATTTTATAATTATGGTTAGAGTAAGTTGAAAGAGGAGATCCGTGAACACCAACTTCCAATGGATATATTAATGAGTTGGACACAAGCTCTTTGACTAAAAGACGCACAAGAGAGCATTACCAACACCAATGTAAATGAAAAATACACAGCAATCATTCCAGTATTTGTTTATGAAAGATAATAATACAATGTTTTTAGGCTCTTGCATAATTCCTTTAGCTTCCTATATAAAAATAAACTTAAGTAACCAACATGAAAAACCTATATGCACCTTATGATAAACAGCATGTGAGATGCTCAAATATTCCCAATTCCTATCTACCCTACTCCAACTTTCTAACATTTTCTGTTCTTCAATCAGGCAAAAGGGGGGATATAATAGTAAAAGTACACCATGTTAGTAAGTTATAAAAGCAGACCACCTCTCCTAAATATGTTCCATCAGTGATACCATTGCTTGGATGCTGTTGTTGATTAAGCATCTTTTCTTCCAGCTTCTTAATTGATTCCATATATTCCATCTGGCATTTCAATTTCTCCTCCTGCAAGTCCAACATTAAATGTAAAATTAACCAAAGCAAATAGAAATGATATTGGGAAAGAGTTTAAATAAAATCCAACCAATGCAAGGCACTAGGCTTAAATAAAATAAACAACTAATATAGATACATCAATAACTAGATGGATGGATTTACAATTGAAGTTAATGCACAGAATTGACATTTTATATGGAAATATATTTACATATTTGACTTTTAAAGTAATTTATAAACTAGGATTCTGATTTCTCAGGGCACTATAAATTATGATAACATGTTAGTTATTACATGTATAATAAGGTCTTTGAACATCCCGATAAAGAAGTTCTCATGTCAAATGAGAGTAGTGGAAATGACCTTTAACTCTTCTGCATAATTCCTTTCAGCCTCAGAGATGTGCTTTTGTGCTTCTAACCTGATTTTCTTAACCTCATCCTCAAAAGACTTTTGCTGTCTTTCATTTTCAGCAATAAGTTTGTCAACTTGTACCTGAAGCCCTTTGCACAAACTTTTGTAATCACATTCCTCCTTAATTTTCAACACATTCTCCACCTTCATAGCCTGTATAAAATGGGAACCCAAAATTAGCAACAATTATCACCATTGCTTCAATGTCATGATATGCTGGTTACAATAAAGAAATCAATCATAACTAGCCACAAGATATGAAAAATGTTGACTACAACATTCTGTTCCAAGCAATACTCATAGTCTTGCAACTTACAAATAAACAACTAAAATCCAATAGCTCACCCTTTGTCCAAACAAAATAGTACTTGCTGTCTCAGCTCGATGGCATGATGATGGCCCAATGGTCACAACTAGTGATGTTCTTGATGTACCTGGAACAGAACATGAACAAGTACAATTTCCAAGGTAAGTTGGTGTTCCTGCCTCATTATTTTAGAGGAATCAATTAGGGTTTTCTTTTTGGGGAAAAGGAGAGTAAGTCACTAGTCCATTCAGTACAAATACAAGCTCACCTCCAAATGAATCTTTTAGTAATCGTGTAAGTTTTGAATCTCGGAATGGTACATGAGCACTATTTTCTGCCAAAGCATTTATGCACTTCCCTAATGCACTTAGTGAAAGATTGATAGATTTGGCTTCTTCTAAAACATGCCCTTCACTTCCTGGAAGATATCATAATGAAAATTCTCCCCCATTGTAAAGATTTTCAAATTGAGTAGCATGGACATCTAGACATTAGCATCAGATAATAAGCAACATATAAAGGCATTGTAGTTTCTAATTAAATCTAGACAATTCAGAGGCATACCTGATTTGAGCACTCGCTCAGAACCAGCAAGATCCACTAGAACTAGTTTGCCTTTCCTGAGCATGGGTGGCTTAAAATTCAGGGCCAGATGAGAAGAGACGTCGTATTCACCAGTCAAATCAGATTCTATTTCAGACACAGACTTCTTAATGTGCACCTATCCAATTCATGCATATACAGTAACTAGCAAATTTACATACATAAGAATGATTAATGCATTTGAATACCCAAAAAAAGTCATTTACCATGAGAATAGCATGACTACGAGAAGATTCTGTATTCATCCTTGTGTTAGCAGCATATCTATGACCTTCCCCCAACTGCAACAGTTCTAAAAAACTTTGATGGTCTCGGACCTCAACTACTGTTGCCCCTGGTAGGGAAATGTCACCACTTATTTGGTCTTCAATTATAGCAATATTATCATTTGCAGGATTAAGAAGGTCTTGGATTGTTTCCATATAAAGCTGCATAGACATGAAGAAAGAAATACTTTTATTACTAAAGAAAATTGAATTGACAGCAAACTTATCCAAAGATTTTGAAAGTACTCCATATGTGTAAACCTGCAAGTATGACACTGAAACTGAATCAGTCTCTAGGCATGTATTAGCAAGAATTTGTTCCATTGAGCGAACCATAATACCACGGGCAGAGGGGTCTTCTTCTCCAAGTTGTCCAAGAGTATAGGTTTTCCCAGTGCCAGTTTGACCATAAGCCATCACTGTCCCATTGTAACCCTCCAAGACACTCTATAGATGACCAGGAGATTAAATAGAAAAGGGAAAATATCAGTAAGAATTACTTCCTAAACAAATTTCAACCTGCATTTAAAAACTAAAAACCTTTAATAAGCAAAGCCTTCAATTTTTGAAAATATCATAAGAGACTTTATCCCTATAAATTACACTTCCTTCTTGTCCTTCTCTTTAGATCTTGGAAAATATTTTCATAAAAGAAAAAAAAATTGATTTTTCTAACCCTGCAAGTTTGAGGGGTTTAAAGGCAGCAAATTAAAGAATAAAGAATACAGACCTCCACAACAGGTTTTGCAACCACTTCATAGACACGCTTTTGTGATGCAGATTCAGTTAATATCTCATCAAACTCGTAGACATCCGTATCCCAGTTGTTCTTCCGAAGTTTCAATCTTTTCAGCTAGCCCATCAAAACAATGAAAGGCATCAATACCAGGCAATTTTCACAAATTAATTATTCATACAGTAAATGCAAAATTTAAGTTTTAACCAAATCAATCAAATATATGTTAGAACCTCTGGTTGCAGTTCCACACAATCAGCAAAATCTGCATCTGCTGCCAACTCCTCAGCATTTCGAGGTCTCAATCTTACAGCAACTCTAACTCTTCCAGAAACTATAAGGGACAAGAAAAATACATTTCATATTGAAAGTAACAAAATGACCATAATACTTATTTGAATATCAAACATCATTGCATCTTCAAATTAGTCAAACCCTCAAGAGATTCACACAAGTTGACAAAGTAACAAAGCGAATTAAGAGAAAGAAAAAGAGAGGACTAAAATAAAATACAAAAGAATTTATTCGTAGAAATTAATTATTAATTGAAAAATATGAGATTTCAGAAACCAAAACACATTGATTGTACAAGCAATAATGATAAAACTATTAAAATAATCAAAATACTCTTTACATTAGTCAAGTGTACATAGGAGTGTAAGTGAGAAATACACTGGTTTTTAGATGAAAAGTATTCAGGTAGGATGACTTCATCAATCTTTAATAACAAACTATTTTAGAATTTCAAAAGAAAAAAATCCAAAAAAAAAAAAAAAAAAGACTTAAAGTGTATTTTGCAATGTCATTGAATTCTTGTGTAGGTACACAAAATAATTGAAAGGATCTAAGGTAGATGCTAACAATAATTACCCATTAACTTGAATAAGTTTATGGAAAACATTGATTATGGTTATTTTTTACTGTTAAATTTGCATAATTCAAAGCTAAAGAGCTAATAATTTCAAAATTAGTCATATGTAATAACTAATAAGCAGGGACAAAAAGGCAGGATCCTCTGCTATAATCCATCACCAGTTACGGACCTCTCAACTAAAGTCGTTCAGTTTCACTAAGAATAGAATTCAAGGTACAACGGTTAAACGGATTTGTTGAATAGTTAAACCTACTACTTGCAAAGGCTAAAGCCAGTTATATATACGAATCAGTGTAGCCTTTTATGCATTGGAATTTCAAAATAACTGAGATCGGAAAGAATTCCAATTCCTTGATTTAAATAGATATGAAATTCGGAATACGCATTTGATAGCTAAAATTTCACAGAGCTACATTTCAAAAATAGATTACTCGTATGCTCAAATAAAGAAGTCCACTCATCACATTGTTGAATTACTAACGCAAGACATTTGCGCAGATGAATCACTGAAAAACGAGTGATAAGATCACGTAGCAAAAAAAGAAAAAGAAAAAAAACTCGAATAATGATAATAGAAGCTCGTGTTAAAAGTGAACATAGTTTCACATTGAAAAGTAAAGCACGATTATGACTTGATCTCAAGCACATTCTTCAAACAAAATGAAGTGGAGTTGTAAAAGTACCGGCATCAACAGCGACACCGAGAGTGGAGACGTTGCTACTGCGGCGGACATTAGAAGTTGACGACGGAAGCTTGGATTTGGAAGTTCTTAGATTAGATGACTTGTGATTGCCATTCCTGTAACCACCGCCAGAAGCCATCACCTCCACCTCTAAACAAAGGGAACGAGTATGCTTACAGTTTTCACGCACGAAATCGTGTATGTTATATATGGGGCCAGGAAGTGAATGAGTTCAAACATTAGGAGAGGGAGAGTGGGGTCCAGCCACAGTGAAAGGCAGATGCGGCGGTGGTTAGTGATCGTCAAATCTTTATAGAGCAAATACCAATTTTGATCCCAGGAGTATTAACAAAATGACAGTTTTGATCCACATGTTTAATTTCTATCAATTTTCATCTACGATTATAGTTTTAGTACCAATTTTCATCCACAACTATTGTTTTAGTGTCAAAGTTCATCACACTGGTCACCCCTTCGTTTAAGACATGTCGAAATATGAAATTAAGGGTAGCTTCATGCTTTTCAAATTAGGATCCCTATTTGAGCCTTTGCTCAGGAACAATCCATTTGGCTTTCAGCCACTTCCGAACCTTTAGTCCGGGAACAATCCATTCGGTCTTCAACCGACTTCCGAACCTTAGTCCGAGAACAATCCATTCGGCCTTCAGCCGACTTCCGAACCTTAGTCCGGGAACCACCCAATTGGCCTATAGCCAAAATGGGGGATCATGCAACACATAACACATATGAGCACGTAATAGCATATTGGGAGGGGAAAGACATATAAATAAACTTACGTGTGATCATTCACATACTAAGAATAGTCCTAAGGGTTCATACAACTTCCACCTAGGTCAACGGGTTACCAATTCAACTAGCATGCAACCCCTAAGCCTCATTTAACCTACAAATGGCACCCGAAATATCAAACTAGACTCAAGTACGACTAACGGGGTCCGTTGGGACACCATGGGGAACGGGGAACATCAAACGGGGAAGCCAAAGACCCGAGGTGGGGTACGGACCAGCGGGTAGCCGGTGGGTGGAGGGCCACCCGCCGACTGCCCGCCGGAGAACACTGTACCGGGTAACGGGTCGCCGACGGGCAGGCGGCTGCCCGCTGTCGGGCGGTGTTCTTCGGGCAGCGGGTAGGTGGCGGTTCCCCTACCCCCTACTGACTCTTTTATCGTATATTCGTTCCGGGAATCTTCGTGGAACCCGATACCATGCTTAGACACTTTAAACGCAATTAACGACACCACGTAGGCAATTAACGGATCGAAAGCAAGGATCACGTAGAACTCATCCTATTACGACTTCTAAACATAAACAACACCCGAACATGCGAATTCCCACCCAAATATATAAAGAACATCCCAACACAAATTCTCAATCCAACCTAGGGCTCTAATCCCACCCAAATCATCAAAATCATATTTTATCTTTAATGTCAAGAAATATCAAGATTCGTCAAGAATCATCATATCCAAATCAAGAACTTCTTTTCAACATCAAGATCATCAAGATTATCAAGAATACACATAAATCATCTTATCAATCATCAAGAATATATCACAAATAGCATAGGGGAATTAATCAAGACACAAGCATATAGGAGGAGGCCAAGAAAGGAGATTATAGCGAAGAAAATAGGTTTTGTTGAGACATGGGTTACCTCTTAGCCTTAATTATTTTCCTTGGCTATGAAGGGTTTTTCTTTAAGATTCCTCCTTTCTTGATTTCTCCTAGTGGAGTTCTTGGAACTTCTTGTGTGGTGAGAGATTATTGTGGTGTAAGATCTAGGTGCCTCTTATGTCTCTATTTATATATTTTAGGAGTCCTAATTAGGGTCTAAGTGGTATGAGTTTGCTAATTCTATTTCCTATAGGACTAGGGGGCTGGTTTTAGGGATAAGGGCCCATGGGCCATGGTGGACCCCTCTTTAGCTAATTAATGGATTTTAATTCCCTTTTTAGGGTGGGTGATAATTTAATTAATTTTATTTTAGGGGCCGTAACACGGGGTGTTACAGTTATTTTATACTATATTTCACCTCATTCTTAATCCCTTTTTACGCTCAATTCAAAGTGTTTTATTGGGTTTTCGAACTAAAAAATGTGTGTTATGCTTAGTTTTGCCCAAATGCACTTTCAAGAGAGGAAAGAGGAAAAGGTAGCAAAAGTCTATCAAAATGGAGAGAAAATGCATAAAAAGGAACACATGGAAGCATACTGGGAAGAAGACGCGCAAAAGGAGCAAAACCAGAAATCGTGGCGTGGAGGCAAAGCCACACCCCGCACAAGCGGTTGCACGCCCGTGCGTCGCCAGTGCATAAACACCCGTTGAAAGACGCCTCCCGTAAGGGCACTCTCTGCCAGTGCATTCGAAACCCTAATTTCCCACTATATATAGATCTTTTCTAGATTTTGTAAAAGGAGGAGGGAGCAGTCTGTGAATGGTAGCAGAGGCAGTGTAGATAGCTCTAATTTTAAGTTATTTTTATTTCTCTCTTGTTATTTACATGATCTAGTTCTAATATTGTTATTCCTATCTTATATTATCTTTTATCTTGTGTTTATCATCTTATCTTGTTAATCTTTACACTATTGAAGGTTTATTTCTTTGCCTATTTTTCATTTATTGTTGGATGATGTTTATTTTTTATATTCTTGTGATATTTATCTTTATTATGAGTGAGTAGTTTAGTGTAGGGATTGGATTGTGGTGTATATTGTATTTTATGCCTATTTGATGCCTATTATATAAGAGGGTTTGAAACTCATCTTAGGGTTCTTGTTCTTGTGAAATGCTTTTGTATTTTTGTGTTGATGGGTTTGTGCACAATCTTGTTAATACTTGTCTAGTATGAGATTTGGCAATTGTTCAAGCAAGGAGTCCACGAGTTAGCGTACCCATAGACTTGTCTCTCAACCGTCAAATTCTCTTAGACATCATCTCACGACCTTTAAGTTCACTTACGAGAGTAGAGAATAGTAAAGGTCAATATTGCTTGAGCCTAATGAGGGAGATTGATAGCGTCACGAGAGTGGGACAACCCCCGTATTCTGATTCGGCCTAACATTGGACCACGAGAGTGGCGTGTTGGTACACCAAGTTGGTGTTTGCAATCTTTGAACCCGAAGTTGAGTTTCATATCCCTTAATCGTTTGTCATGGCATAAAATCAATATATGTTCATTCCAATCCCTGCTTTGTTATTTTATTATTTTTTACCATTATCCTGCTTCTATCTAATTGCCTACTTAGCTTCCAATGAATGCTTCATCATTGTGCCTAGTCATTTCATCAGTTATGTCTAAACCCAATCCATGAGGACGATCTTAAACAAATTTATTTTTGTTTGTTCCGCAATCCACTATATTGAACTACAATCAGTGAACCCCAGTGGCACATGGAAGTATTTCCACCAAGTGAGGGTTAATATTGTTGAGTTTGTCTCATATATGGATTATGAATATGAGTTTGTCTCATACTAGGAGTAGGAGTGAAACGGGTAGACCCTTTGTACAGGGATTAGATGCCTATAAATATATTGGTTGTATCCCTAAGGGGTTGTGTCACCACAATCACCATCACTATGAATAAGAGTATTGTTTCACTCCCGTGGATGTAGGCACTTTGCCGAACCACGTAAATCTTGTCTTCTTTACCATTTACTGCCATTATTATTATTTCTTATTCTTGTTAATCTCAACAAATTGGTATCAGAGCATAGTTGAGATGGCTAGTTCAAGTACAAAATTCGAGGTATCAAAGTTTGATGGTATAGGGAATTTTGGGTTATGGCGGTCTAGGGTAAACGATTTGTTGGCATATCACGGCCTTCTGAAAATCATGAAGGCGGAAAAGTCAATTAATCTGGAAGAGGCTGATTGTAAGGAGTTGAAGAAGCAGGAAGCTGTGAACGTGGTTCAAGCCAATGACTCTTATTATAGTGAAGGTGATGTTCTAGCGGTAACAAGGAACAAGTTTGAACATTGTTTGGACTTGTTGGATGTTTCTAGATGCTAGATGAGAAGGTGGTGAAGGGCGCTGTAGTGTTGGGCAGCGCGGATACCAGGAGGGGACGCGAACCTGGTATGGGCCAGTATGACACTGGTATGAGTCAGGCTTGTTATGAGTCACGACTGGTATGAGCTGGGCTAATATGGCTTGGTGTTACGGATTGCTTGGGACGAAGCAGTTCATGAACATGCACGGGGAAACGTTTGATGCTGCGTGGTGCGTGTTACTAACCAGTGGCAATTACTGGTTAGTGGAGCATTGGGCAAGGCACACGGGTTTAGTGTGACTTTGCAGGGGCGCTGTTGTGTTGGGGCAGCGTGGATACCAGGAGGGGATATAGACCTGGTATGAGCCGGGCTTGTCATGAGTCACGGCTGGTATGCGCTGGGCTAATATGGCTTGGTGTGACGGATTGCTTGGGACGAAGCAGTTCGTGAACATGCATGTGGAAACGTTTGATGCTGCGTGGTGCGTGTTGTTGACCAGTGGCAATTGCTGGTTAGTGGAGCATTGGGCAAGGCACACGGGTTTAGTGTGACTTTGCAGGGGCGCTGTTGTGTTAGGGGCAGCGTGGATAGTAGGAGGGGACATGGACCTGGTATGGGCCAGATGCAGGAGATCAGCTAAACGGGACAGTACGCATGAGTCGCGGCTGGTATAACAGGTCGACGGCTGAGGGGCGAATGGCTTGAGACAAAGCGGTTCATGTACATGCTGGAAAACATTTGATGTTGCGTGGTGCATACGGCTGGCTAGTTGGGATGAGCGTGGTTGTTCTACCCATGTGTATATGTGAGATAAGTCTTTTTCTCCTAAGGGGCATAATTGTGAAGGTGGAGATGGTGAGATAAGTCTTTTCTCCTAAGGGACATATTTGCTAAGGTGGAGATTTGTTGAGTTATCTTTTTCTCCTAAAGAGCATATTTGCAAAGGTGGAGATATTCTTTTCTCATAAAGGGCATATATGTGAATGTAGAGATGGTGAGATAAGTTTTTTCTCCTAAAGAGCATATTCGTCAAAGTGGAGATTTGTTGAGTTATCTTTTCTCCTAAAGAGCATATTCGCCAAGGTGGAGATTGTTGAGTTTGTCTCATATATGGATTAGGAATATGAGTTTGTCTCATACTAGGAGTAGGAGTGAA